CAGAGTGAGTTTACCATTTTATAAACCTCTAGCAATGTATGAGTGGCCCAATTTTTCTTGCGTTCTTGCTAGCATTTGGTGGTGTTAACTTTTATTTTCGCTACCCTGTTAGTTGTGTAGTGATAATCTCATTGTCTCATTGTGGTTTTAACTTGAATTTCCCTAATGGCTGATTATGTTGAACATCTTTTTTATATGCTTATTTGCCATCCACATATTTTCTTTTTTAAAAACTTTAAATAAGTTTTTATTGATTTTAGATAGAGAGGAAGGGAGAGGGAGAGAAACAACCATGAGAGAGTCATTATCAACTCCATTCTACATGCCCCCTACTGGGGATGTGCCCTTGACTGGAATTGAACCCAAGACCCTTCAGTCATAGGCTGATGCTCTATCCACTGAGCCAAACCGGCTAGGGCAGTCCTTTGCTTTTCCATTTAAACCTTTTAGAATGTTTGTCTACAAAAACAAAGCTTGTTGGATTTTTGTAGGAATATGTTAAATGTATAGATTTAGGAAGAATTGACCTTTTTACTGACTTCCAATCCGTTTTTAAAGTCTTTTTCCATTTGATAATTTTCAGCATATAGATCCTGTACATGTTTTGTTAGATTTATACCAAAATATGTTGTTTTCTTTGGAGTGATTGTAAATGATATTGTGTTAATTTCATTTCCAATTGGTTTTTGAGTATCAAGCAAGAATCCAGCAAACTGTAACTTTAAAATATGTCTCTTGAAGCTCTGGCATGTCTCCTCTTATAGCTTTACTAGTTCTTTCAGATTTTAAATAAGTGTAAAAAGGATAGACTAATTATAATTACTTCATTCTCCCACTTGATATCAGATGTAGAAATAATCCTTTTGTAACATCCGATCATATTGCCACTGGAAAACTTCCAGGATTGGAAAGTAGTCTCTCGCTATATAAAGAAGTTCATTTCATTGTTGGATAACTGATTCTCATTGTTCATTTTGCTATTGACTCATGGTCATTAAAGACCTCCAAATTTTTAACCTGCCCTGCATTTTCTTGTCTTCCTCTTTCAGGTTTAAGGATTGAGTCCATCATACTTTGAGATGGACTCAATACTTTCATTATGTCATCTTAGGTTTGAATTTATTTTGTGCCATATATATAGTAAATGTAGTATGACACCAGTTTCTAATGACACAAGTCTTACAGAAGCCCAGGCACCTGAAAGTGACAGGAGTGTAGAAGTAGAAAACTGCCTTAGGAATTCTACCTGCTTGGGGGTGAAGAATGACTTGTCTAGAAGGTGTGAAGGGAATGACCCCTAAGTACTGGACTCTGATAGGCTATTTTAACTAAGTTTTAAGATTTTACAATATTTCTACCAGTGAATGGATTCAAAGGAGTTTTGACTTCCCAAAATCACCCAGTAATGGTTCAAGGAAAATGGACACCAGAATCCCAAATTGTGATGGTTAATTTAAGATTCTGGAGCCGTATACCAGACCTAAACAATTCTTGTGGTGGGGTAGAGGAGTAGAGTGCTTATTTATAGCATTCCAAACTTTCAGAACTGATTATTTTTGCTTCTATATTCGAGCCCTTTTAGTTACAATGCATGTTTAGACAATATATGAATAAGTATACATATAAGCAGAACTCCAATGCAAGGTAGGATATGTAATAAATGCAGTGAACTATGGGTTTTCAAGTGGAAAGGAGAATAGATGAGATCAGTAAAGACCTGAAGGATTAGATAGCATTTACAACTGATAGACAAGTTAGATTTTTAAATTTTTATTACACTCGGTGCAGTATTCATTTCTCACTTATTATGGTTGTTCACAAGTATAAGGCAATTTGAACAACACTGCATTATTACACTTCAGATGAAACACCATTACATGCTGAATCAATTTCTTTTAAAATTTCATTTGAGAAGGCATACAATTATAGGAACTCAAGCCTTTGTCAATGTTAAGACATAATAGCAATGCTTAAAAGGATAAACATAACATGAAATTACATTTGAATGTGTAATTTATTTCAATGCTATTTCAACCATTTATTTACCCTTTATGTCTTGACATTCACATGAAAGAAAAGCATATCATTAATTACCCAAATGCAAATCAGAGCGAAATGCTAGGCCTTACTTAAATATTGCAGTTTTTTAATTAAAAACGAAAGACAAAAAGCTGTTGATAGCTTACTCAATTTTAGCATAATTTTAACTATGAAAGTGAATGTTGACATTAAAAACCATGAAGAAAATAGTATAGCTTCAGAAATATTTCAAAATTTAGTCCTTTGCTTATCAATTTTACTTCTTTTGGCTAATTACAAATAACATGTTTCTTAAATAATCTCTTTTCACTTTGTGTCTATAAAAATAAAATTGTCCTCAATCTTCCTAAATTCTTTTCCAAATAAGGCCATTGTTACATGGTGAGAAGTTACTGAATCATAGGTTTAATATCAGTGGCAGAAATCATATGTACAAGATGTAAGAAATTCATTGTTAGGTAGGGAATAAGAGTACAGTATAGTTGCTAGCCATACATAAGAGGTAGAATTCTTAATCACAGTTTTAAAGAAAAGATGCAGTAGTTTATGTTGTACTGTTTTATTATAGTACTCTAAGTTTGCTTCTCATTAGGAGGTTAATAGGAGGGGTGACGGGGAGGGCTCTTCAGAGGCAATGACTTATTGGCCCTTGTTTTGCATGTTACAGGGACTATTCCTGGACACTTAAAGCACGTTCTTGGCCAATGAAGGTAATTGATCATACATGGCATTTACCTGATTTTAAAAAAGCTTGAAAGTAGGGACACCTAAGTTTCTGTGTTCCCAAAGGCATAAGGAGGGAAATAAATCTTTTTGTACCACAGAGTACAAAGCATAATGAAAACATTCTCTCTGGATATCAATTATTGCTTAACATTGCCAGCAGTACTAACCTACAGAGGGATTCTGTACTCAAATTTAGAAGTTGGCTGCTTCTAACTCATATCTGTTATAAACAATACTACAAATGGGTATAACCTAAAAATGCTATTCAATTAATTACTAGTATTGGAGTAAGACTCCACGGGCTGCAGGAGGCCAGGACAGTACAGCCTTTACTTATAAAGTTATATATGGAGTATTCAAACTTGGGATTCTGTGGGTTTCAAATTTTACTTGAATGTCAATAAAATGATCAGAAAAATCATTTTATGAAAGTTATAATATTTGTAATAAATATGTATACCCAATGCTAAACTACAATAGGACTTATATTTCATAAAATGTACCCGAATACTTATTAGATAATTCAAAACAGAACAGTTGCAAAAAAGTTCATAGCCAAGTAATATTTCTTCTAGTTAACTGGAAATTATCTCATGATTTGTATTAAGGTTAGTTCATTATGAGGGGCCCATCAGATTATAGATACTTACCTTAATTCTTTTTATATTGACTTTATTAGTTCTCTTTTACTGATTTTGAGAAGTCAGAAAAGGAGATATTTATGTTAGGCCCAGATCCTTTTAGCAATATTTCCTTTACAACTGCTGGTAATAATGTATCCAACTCAATAATCATGTTAAAATTAACATAACACTGTTGACAACATAAAAACAAAATTATTTCTCTCACATTTAATTTTAAAATCCTATACCTTAGTTAAGGATTAGACAGAATAAGTCCTAAAGGAGACTTAGCAACCTTTGACTCTTTATTTCAAAAAGATAATTTGTCCTAATTTTAATTATGACTTAGCATTTTTAAGAATTATCACAATGTCAACTTTTGGGAATGTAAGATAAGTATATAAAACTAATTACTTGTTGCTAATATTTTAAATTGAAGTATATTTGGTTATAAAAGTCTCACAAATCTCTTTTTCACAGCTATGCTTCCATTTACATTAGAGGAGAGATGCATATGTAAAAAGAGAAAAGTAGAGTCTTCATCTTCTAAAGATATATTCAATCCATGATTAGGTCAATTCTCAGATGATTTATAACTTAGTATGTTGGAAATTTAATTTGTAATTGCTACATTTACAAGGAAACTTCTAGGTAAGAGAATCTTTTAAAAACATTGTTTGGCCCTAGCTGGTTTGGCCCAGTGGATAGAGCGTTGGCCTGCAGACTGAAGGGTCCTGGGTTCGATTCCAGTCAAGGGCACATGCCTGGGTTCGGGCTCGATCCCCCACAGGGGGCGTGCAGGAGGCAGGTGATTCTCTCTCACCACTGACGTTTCTCTCTCCCTTCCTCTCTGAAATCAATAAAAAATATTTATAAAAAATAAATAAATTGTTCGGCCCTGGCTGGTGTGGACCAGTGGTTAGAGCGTTGGCACAGGCACCAAAGGGTCGCAGGTTTGATTACTGGTCAAGGGCACTTACCTGGGTTGCAGGTGCAATCCCCAGCCCCAGTCAGGCTGTGTGCAGGAGCAACCAATCGATGTATCTCCCCACCTGCCCCCCCTCCCCCCAAAAAAGCTGTAAAAAATCAATGGAAAATAATTCCCGGGTGAGGATTTACAGAAAAACAAAAACAAAAAAACCCAGCAACATTATTATGCCCTGGCTGGTGTTGCTCAGTTGTTGGTTGGGCATCCTGCACTGAAAGGTTGCTGGTTCAATTCCTGGTCAGTGTACATGCCTAGGTTATGGGCTAGATCCCTTGTAGGAGGTGTGCAGAAGGCAGCCTATTGATGTTTCCCTCTCACATTGATGTTTCTCTCTCTCCAAAAATCAACAAAAAAAATATTAAACAAAAATTGTTTGGTGTTGCATTTAGGCCCAAAGTTCCTTTTTTTAAAATCACCTATGACACATTTGCATTTTTTTTAAACAGGAAAATGCCATTATTAATATGGCTTCATTCAATTATACCTATACTCTGCAAAATATTTGCTATGCACTTAAGTATAACCAGAGCAATAAGATTACTTGCACAGATGAAAGTGAAGACTTTTCTTTCACATTAAAATTAAAATTTTCACACTTATGGTAACTGAAAACATTTTGGAAATACTATTAATGGTCTTGACTGTAACAGTTTATTGCATTTTTCTGTCTCTTTTTCAATATGGAGTTTTAAGTTCTACTTTTCCTCTTATCTTCAAATAGACTCTTCAGCATATAAACTTGAATGGCTGACACCACCACCATTACCACTAAATTAACCATAGACCAAAAGTTGACTCTATCAAAGTTGCTTTCTTGTATATTTCGATCACGCGCTTCAAATGCTCTAAGAAGAGTTTGGATATGACCACTTTTGCTTAGTCGGGACTTGATACTGTTGATGGATTCCTGGAGATAAAGAAAATAATTTTACTATAAAAGAATTCTCAGTAATTTTAAGTTAATTTTAAAATGTGTTTTACAGTGCCCTTCCTATTCATATGTTTCATATCTAAACACAATGTTAATTAAGGAACAGATGCTATTTAGATTACATAAAGGTTATCTGTAAGGTTATGTCATAGCTCTCCTGATACATTTAAATTATTATTTATAAATAGCTATTTAACACACAAACAAAGCTACAAATTGAAACTAAATAAAATGAAAATATATTTGAGTTGGCACAGTGCCAGGAATTTTACATACATTATTTCTTTCTCATCCCATGCATCTATAAGAAAATGTTTTAAAAAACAGAACTGATAAGTTTTTAGGAATTTGCCTTCATAGAATTAATGCATTGTATGTTAATATTTTTTTTTCTTGGAATGTTAACCTGGTCCAATATAGTATTTAGCAAAACACACAATGTTTTTATCTCACAAAGTAGTGAAATTAAAAACTATTTCAACTTCATATGTGCATTCTTTACACCCAAAAAGAACAACCTATTGTTAATAAAAACTTATTCCAAGATCACATTCATTAAACAAACTTACCAAGATTCATTCTAAGCTGCATATCTTCTGGAAAAAAAAACTACTTTATAGTACGGACCTGATCAGAAATTATTTGAAGACTAACTATAGACTATATGAATATAAGGTAAAATTTAGTTGAGAATTAAAATAATCCTATATAATAAAAGCCTAATATGCAAATTGACCAAATGGTGGAGCAACCGGTCGCTATGATGCATACTCACCACCAGGGGACAGATGTTCAATGCAGGAGCTGTCCCAAGCCTGCAGGCCCCAGGCCAGTCAAGGCGGGTGCTGGTGGGGTCACCCTGATCGCCCCGCCGGTCGCCCCAAGAGGGAGGCGACCAGTGGCGGCGGCAGGGGGCGGGGCCAGCCAGTAAGCAGGCAGTGCCAGGCTGGCCAAGGCAGGTGCCAGCAGGGACCCTCCAATTGCCCCCCTGGTCACCTCACAGATAGGCCCTGATTGCTGGCCAGGCCTTGGGACCCTACATGTGCACAAATTTTGTGCACCAGGTCTCTAGTATAAAATAAAAAAATCCAAGCAACAGACTTTTTTCCTAGAGACCCACTTTGCTTAAAATCCTTATTTAAGTAAAAAAATATACTCAATTTCAGACTGCTGTGCTGATCCTATAAAACTACAAAATATCATATGGGCATTTCTGTAAAATATTTTCCAGGAAAATATGGAGTTCAGCTCCTCAAAAAAAGCATGCATAGTTCTTTTCAATAGCATAATGATGATAGTCACATATACAAAGTCTGGGGGGAGCAAATGGAAAAAGCTCCTGAAAGGCACTTTATTTTCTTAAGGAATCTAAGTATTTTAAGCCATATTTAAATCGGAATTTTCTGGTCATTTTGTTTAACTGTGTGAGTAAAGTCAATCTCTAGAGAATGCAGTGAAGTACTAATAAGATTTGTAACTACTTGCATTTTGTTCTTGTTGGTAACATATATTTAAAATGGAAGAATATGTTCATTTGATTGAGGTTTTTTAAATGTGTGGGAAGATTGGACTATAGTGGAAATATGGACATAGCATTTCCATTTTAATTGTAAGCCAGTTCCTTATCTAAAAAATGGAATGGAAGGGAAAAGGAAGGAGGCTGAAGCTAGATTAATAATATCTAAGTCATCTTCTAGTTCTAAAATTCAACTAAGCTTAATATACATAAGAAATCATGATGAGATAAAAAACTGTCATGGTAGCCCGGCCAGTGTGGCTCACTGGTTGGAGTTGACCTATGAACTAGGAGGTCACAGTTTGATTCCCATCAGGTCACATGCCCGGGTTATTGGCTTGATCCCCAGTGTAGGACCTGCAGGAGGAGGCAGCCGATCGATGATTCTTATCATTGATGCCTCTATTTGTCTCTCCCTCTCCTCTCTGAAAAAAAAATATATATATATATACACACACATATATATACATGTATATATATGTATATATATACATATATATACATATATATATATGTGTGTGTATATATATATATATATTTTTTAAATGTCATGGTAAAATTAACGCCAATCAAACTTTAGCCTTTCAGTTCGTATTCAGAGTAACACCAGTGGAAAAGGTATGAAAACTATCCTTTATTATTTGCCAGACACTGTTTAAAGCACTTATATACATAGTGTATCACATTTCAACCTCACAACTCTAGTGGTATTGTCCCCATCTTCCAGGTTGGAAACCAAGGCTCAGAGAGCTCAGTCACCAAGGAATTACACATATGATAGGACCACTTAATATTCCAACTTAAGCTAACCGATTTATGTCTCTTCTGCTATAATTTGATCATTCCTTTCCTAAGAAAACTCAGATATATTTATCAAAATATCACATTATTTTTAAAAAGTTCAGGTGATAAGAGTATTAGAAGTGTTACAGTTTCAAACTTGAAATAACTATGTTATTTCTCCTGCAAGAATTTCTACAATGGAGTTACACGTATCACTGAGTAAGTTCTGTCCTTTGGTTACACATCTAGCTGTGGCTGAAGGGTTATGACCTTTCCCTCTAGCACTGACAGTACTATAATTGCTAGGTCTGGTTTGAGTAATGTCAATAGTGTTCCCAAATTAATCAAATAATATAAAATTCCATGTTATAAAAACTATGATGTGGGAAAAATGCCTGTATATCTTAACTGTTTACAAATTACTCAGTGCAAGTATGCAACAGATTATTATATTCTTCTGTTAGTGAATATTCTAAGGAAGTTTTGCAGTTAAGAGCCTGTATTCAAATTCTAGTTCTCTCTCTCTGTTTATGTGATAGGATTGTTACTTAATCCCCCCTAAGATACAATTTCCTTATTGGAAAATAGAGATGATCCTGATAAAGTTAAGTAAGGATTATATGAGATAATGCAGTTAAAATATTTAGCCAGTGCCTGTCACAGAGTAAAACCTCTGGATGTTAATAATTTTTATTATTTCATTAATAGACCATACTGACCAGGATATCTTCTAGTTTCATATCCAACATATCTGTGCCAGTAATATATTTCTTCCAGTCCTCTTGTTCTTGCTCCTGTTCTCCCATATTATCCAGGATTAACTCAAAGAAAATCACCTTCTCAGAAATGGTGCTGAATGTATTATCGAAGCAGAACATGTAGTCCCCTACTTCCGTCTCTACCCTGTATTAAAAAAAGTACATGTCTTCCATTATCAGTACTTATATTTCAAATCAAAGGAAAAAATACTACAGATAGAAGAAGTAACAGTTAATAATAATTGGACAGCTTACTGATAGACTTCCTTAGATTTAAAAGATAATTTATAATTTTTTGGGAGAGGCAACCTAGAAATATATAGAGGTAGGCAAAAATAGGTTTACAGTTTAATACAAATAAGTAATACAATAACTAATAATACAAAAATCAACTCTGTTTCGAGTACTCACAAGTGTAAATCTACTTTTGCCCACCACTGTATATTCAAGTACTATACTTGCAATGTAGATGTGCTTGGCATTACGGTAAATGGTCGTGACATAATTTTTGGAAAAGAATTGAATTAAAAACTAGATACATGATAACTCACAATGAACTTCAATATTTATGACTACAAACCTCCCCTTCAATTGAGATTAATTTATAAAGTGAGTTTTTGGTGTTTTTTTTTCAAAAGCAGTGATTGATTTTCCTAAATGCTTTCTTCTAGGACTCCTACCAATTAAGTACATCTTTGGAATTAAGTTAGGGTAATATTAATTCCGTTGTTTAGAAAAATGCATTTATATACAACTCTTCATTACAGGCAGTGTTAGACAAATAGGTATTATTTAATCTGTTTTAAGGCTCTGTTTGGAGAAATTTTTACTTATCCCGACTTCTAGAAGGACAGTATTTATTTTAAAGATTTAAATTAAGAAAAAACTATTTCAATGCTGTAACTGAGATTTTAGTTGTCTTTAAAAAGTTAATATAGCTAAAGATAAAATTTGTATTAAAATCTAATTTTTACAAAGTAGATGTGTAAACTTCATGTAGTGATTAAGAGTGAATTAGACTGCCTGGGTTTTAGATCCTGGCTTCACTATTGACTAGCTGTGTAACCTTCCATCAGTTTACTTAAGAGCTCTAGGCCTCAATTTCCTCATTGGTAAAATGATAAAAATATCATGTAACTCATAGGATTGTGGTGAATAATAATATGTATACAAATACATGTAAAGTGCTTAGAATAGTTTCCTGGCACATCAAAAGAACTCAATAAATGCAAACTCTTATAAATTAATTTCTGTCTCCCAATGTTTTAATGAGGCAATTCTGTGTACTAAAGCAATAAAATACCTTTTCCCTCTAAGAGTCAATATTAATTTATCTCTAAAAGAAAGCATAAAATTGGAGAGAAAATAAAAATTGAGAGAAACTCTATATATTTTCTATATTCTGAAATTTAAAGGTGAACTACATTTTTATTTCTTGTTCATATACCTATCAAAGAGAAAGCATAGTTAATCCTAAGCATATCAATCTAAACTGACTTTTAAAATGGTAATTTATTTTATATATTAATAGTTTATGCAAATATTTTTCCTGAGCTCTACATAGGAAAAAGCCGCTTTACAAAGCACTCTGAAATGAGTATCTTGAAAAATTATGGTGGAGACATTTTCCCCCTCATTCAGTCATACATGTATTCAGTATTTACTATCAATTACCATGCCAGGTACTTTGGTTAATAAACACCAATAATTATAATAATAACTAGTACTTACATGTACTATGTGCCAGGGATGTTCTAAGCATCATATGTAGAAAGTAAATATTTTGGTCCATCCTGCCTCCGCTTAATAAATATATACCCCTGCAGACTTATTTAACTTCTCTGAGCTTCCTTGTCTGTAAAATGGGAATTAGGGAATCAAAGAATCTATCTCACAGTGGATTGGAATAATTAATTTAGAAGCATATAAAATGCAAGGCCTCATTTATGGCAAATATTAGATACTCTGTATTTGCTCTTTTTCCTATAAATTCAGTTTAGTTTTAACACAACAATACTGAGTAACGAAAGAGCTAAAGTAAAATAATAGAACAACAAAACACCAGTGACAGATGGAAAAGGAAAATAGATGAAAAAAGGGGATATATGGCCAGTTGTTAAATTTAAACTGAAAGTGTTATAACAAGTATTTTCTTTTTTTTTTTTTTTTAATATATTTTATTGATTTTTTACAGAGAGGAAGAGAGATAGATAGAGAGTCAGAAACATCGATGAGAGAGAAACATCGACCAGCCGCCTCCTGCACATCCCCCACCAGGGATGTGCCCGCAACCCAGGTACATGCCCTTGACCGGAATCGAACCCGGGACCTTTCAGTCCGCAGGCCGACGCTCCATCCACTGAGCCAAACTGGTTTCGGCCAAGTATTTTCTTTTTATATGGTTTCCTATGGTCACATCTTTTATACTCACAAATGTATTTTACTGTTGTTTTAAGGAAGAAAAGAATGGGCAGAGATGATAAATTACCTGGAAGTGTAATTTACAGTTAAAATGGAAGGCCTCTTCTAGCCAAAAAGGTTGGTTCAAAATGACACAATAGATTGCATATAATATTTAGGGAATACTCATCTATTTAAACAAAGCAAGGAAAAAACAGGATCAATACAAAATGCCTAAAGAAAAAGAAAAACGTTAATGGAAAATATTCTAGTTTTTTAGACCACTATCTAGGACTATTTAGGCCGCCAGTGTGGCTCAGTGGTTGAGCATTGGCCTATGAACCAGGAAGTCACGGTTCAATTCCCAGTCAGGGCACATGCCTGGGTTGCAGGCTCAATTCCAACAGGCGGCAGCCAATCAATGATTCTCATCACCGATGTTTCTCTCTCTCTATCCCTCTCCCTTCCCCTCTCTAAAATCAATAAAAATACATTAAAAAATAAATAAAAAGGATTGTTTAAAATGTTCATATGGTATCCTGGCTGGTGTGATTTAGTTGGTTGGAGCAAAGTCATCCTGTACACCGAAGGGTTTAGGATTTAATTCCTAGTCAGGGCACATACCTAGGTTGTAGGTTTGATCCCTGGTTAAGCATGTCCTCGAGTGAGGATTAAAAATAATAATGATAATAATAATAGTAACAACAAATAATAAAATGTTCATATGGAATAATTTTATATTGATATTTAGTATCAAATGTGCAAAATGTTCCTGCCTTGTAGATGGTCCCATTGGTATTATTCAGCTCAAGGAATCAACTAAGTGATTACTTACGTGTGAACTCCATCTGATTTTCTTTGTTCAAAAACTAAGGTTCTTCCTTCTGGAGAAGCAAGATGGAAATCAATATCTAATCCTGCTCCATCTAAAACCTGTAGAATACAGAAGAGAACATATATTACAAATTCTGAAAATAAATTATAGAAAGTAGATCCCATAATGAAGAGACTTTCTTCATAAACCTAGAGGGGTAAGAAAGTCAATGGACTCATTATGGCTAGAAAGGAGCAGAAAGATCATCTAGTTCAATTCCATTCATTTTTGGAACTGGTCTCTTTTGTACCAATTCCTGTTGGCTATCATGGAAATTTAGGCCTTTATAGGTATTAGTGAAATAATCTTCCTAAAACAGTGCCTTCAAGTTGAGAAGCCCTGTAGAATAAAATAAGAATTAGCTGATACTTAGTCTAGAATTTGAGACCACCATGATCTGACTCCAACTGACTTCTTCAACACATTCATATATTATTCCCCAATATGAACAATACATTCAGGTAGGCTGCTTACTTACTGGCCAATGAACACAATCTGTTCCTTTACAATCCCCAAATGTCCTCCTACTGCTGCTGCTGCGAAGAGAGCAGTTCACAATTACAGTTTACGCCACACATTGTCTTTTAAGTGCTTTATGTGGGTTAATTTATTCCTCAAAACAACTCTAAAACGTAGGTCCTATTATTGTTCTCATTTTAATAAAAAACAAAAAAAATGAAGGCAGAGAGAAGAAATTTTCCCAAGATGATACAGCAAATAAGTGGCATAGCCAGAAAATATGAACTCACCAATCTCCCTCCCATGGCTACTCTTTTTCTTATATAACACTCCACTTTATTTTTCTTGGTGGCTTTAATAGAATGATATAAAAGATTACCTACTCCTGTGCTCTACCTACTGACAAAAAAAACCCAAAACAACTGGCTTCAAATGGCAAGTTAAATATATACAATTCTTCTTTAAATCCCAATGAAATGAAGAAAACATAATATAAATAATCCATAACACCACCAGAAATCAAGAAGCCTGTTAAGAGTCTTGAAGAGAAAGGAATTTCTGGAAGATACTCTACTGAGCAAAGGCTATATATATCCAGCTACCAGTATCTATTGATCTCAAAACTCACAATTAAATGTGCACTATAAACAAGTGCAATGTTAGCAGAATGAACATAGATGAAGCCTAAAAATTAGAGCATTAGAACGAGCCAAGGAATTCTCAGAACAAGGTGAAAAAGTATAGGTGAAAAGTATGAGGAAAATGGTAAGACCCTTATGAAGGACAGAGCCAAAGATTTTAAATTATTCATCTAGTAAGCATTTCAAAAGGAGAGAACCAAGAGAAATGAAGGGAAGAAATCATCAAATAAGAGAATAAAAATTCCTGCTTCAAAAGATAAAATTCATTAGACTGAAAGAGTTTAATAGATGAAAAGCAGTATAAATAAAAAAAGATCCAAAAATCCTATTGACTCTTCCAAAGGATTTAAAAAGAACAACCTGGAAACTTCCAACACCAGTAGTAAAGACTGAAAAATATCAAGAATTGGGATTGGCATCAGAATTCTTACATAGAAGATGCAAAAAACCCACAATGGAACCATGACTTCAATGTTCCCAAGTAAAAATAAAAATTATAGTACTTACTGAAGTGAAAGTAAAAAGTAAGAGCAATTTTCAGATATCCAAGGACTCAAAACATACTAAAAGAATTACTTAGGTTATCCTCAAAAAAAAAGAAGAAAAAAAAAGATATCCATTAAGTTAGAAAACGAGCTATAACAAAACTAAGCAAAGATTTCAGTAAAGCTAAGTTTAAAATATATTTTTGTTAGTGGCTATCAGGCTTAATGAAATTGTTAAAAATGGCACTTAAGAATACAGAAGCTGCCCAGCCATCATGGCTCAGTGGTGAAGCTTCAACCTATGAACCAGGGCACATTCCCGGGTTGCGGGCTCGATCCAGTGTGGGACGTGCAAAGGCAGCTAACTGATCAATGATTCTCTCTAATCATTGATGTTTCTATCTCTCTCTCCCTTCCTCTCTGAAATCAATAAAAATATATTTTTAAAAAATACAGAAGCCAACTTATACCATAATCCAAATCTAAACTCCCCACTGATTTTAATGGAACATGAAAGGCAAGTGCCACTTTCCCGTCTGTGTGCTATGGTAATAATGTTTCAATCCCTCAAAAGTAGTGTCTTACTCCTCAATGCCTTATCACGTGTTCTTTTTTAAAATATATTTTTATTGATTTCAGAGAGGAAGGGAGAGGAAGCAAGAGATAGGACAAGTGAGAATCCTTGATTGGCTGCCTCCTGCAGCCCCACACTGGGGATCGATCCTGCAACCTGGGCACGTGTCCCGACCAGGAATCGAACCATAACTTCTTGGTTCATAGGTCGATGCTCAACCACTGAGCCACAGTGGCTGGGCCAAAGATTTAAATTTTTAAATGAATGATCTACATTATTCATAAGATACATGTATTGACATTAAAAAATTTTGAGAACAATATAATGTAGGGCTCATCAGTTTGTCACAGTAACTCCAAGGCAGTGTCTGGAACACCAATTCCCTGAAATTTTAAATACTAAGACAAAAACCAGAGCTTACTTGTTGGAAATTAATCATGGAGTAGGGAAATGCAAAGGGCTGAAGATGATCTCTACCTTACACACTCCTCCTACATTGTCTAGGTTTATAGACATTAAATGATTATACTTTTCTCCTCAATGAAAACAATTAAATGGTTTAGGGAGAGTGAATGCTCTGGGGGAACCGTCCCTTTATACAAAGTATAAAGCTAAACCAAGCCAGCTACATAACACTAGAAGTGTAAATGTAAAAAACACACACACATTCATTTAATATTTACTATGTGTCGGAGATGGTCTATGAACAATCATTTACTCATTTTTTTCAAATCTACGAGACAATTACTATTATCTCTATTTTACAAGACAGAGGTTAAGTAACTTGTACAAAATCACACAGGTAGTAATTGAGAGGATTTCAACTCAGGCATTTTACCTCTAGAGCTAGAGCTCTTAATCATAAGAGGTCAGAAGTTAAAATAGTCTTCCTCCCTAATACCTGGGTAATTACTGAGGCGTTTTTGAATAGTACAAATTGCTGTCTTGTAGACCATTTCACTGATTTCCTTGCCTCTCATTTTGACTTACTTAAACCCATCTTCCGCACTATGCAGGGATCTATCGGACAAACATTTTTGACTCCGTTACCATGCTGCTTAAATCTTCAATGGCTCTTGCACAGAATAAGGACAAAGCTACTTAAAATGGTGCGCAAGGCCAAGATCATGACCCATGATAAAGCCTCCGGTTATCTCTCTAACCTTTTTATTTTACTCCCACTCTAGACTTTCTAGACTTGAAGTCTCATAAAACCTCAGCACTTGTAACTTCCACTTCATACTGCCTACAGCCAAAACACCCCCACTATGCATTTTCAGAATGCAAAATGCATATTCATTTTGTTCCTTTTTTTGAAATGTCCCCTCTTCCTTGCATCCTTGTTTCACTTAAGCATCTTTCTAGATTCAAATTTATTTTCTTCAGGTATCCTTTTCTGAAACCCCAGAGAAGTGGCCCTTCTCTATGAGCACTTAACCATACTTTACTGAAATTACCTGCTTATGAGCCAGTGCTCCTTAAATATTTCAAGAACCTCCTGAAAACAGGGACTCTCTTTTGTTTTTACCCCCCCCCCCCCCCAATTATTGGCATATAGTTAACTAACTGTTCAGTAAGTGAACTTTTGAACTAGACTGGACATTTTTAAAATGTCGAGGTCTGGATTTGGTTTTGCTAATTATGTGTGACATTAGATTCTTTACTCTCTATGCTTACCTTATACATCTATAAATAATCTAATTCTTAAGTCCCTTCGCATGAAAATCCAGCATAACTCTTTATTTTGCTCTATACATGACAGTACCTGTTACTGAAAAAGATTCCCTACATCAACTTAAAAAAAGTGACACCTGTCCTAGCCGGTTTGGCTCAGTGGATAGAGCAAGGGGCCTGTGGCCTGAAGGGTCCGGTTCAATTCCCGTCAAGGGCACTCGCCCGCACTGGGGAGCGTGCAGGTGATTCTCTCATCATTGATGCTTTTCTCTCTCTCTCTCTCTCTCCCCCTCACCCTTCCTCTGTGAAATCAATAAAAATATATATTTTTAAAAAAGTGAAACCTGAAAAAAAAGTGACACCTGATTATAAATTATGTAACTTGTAAAAAAATTAAAAGATGAACCACACCAGCGCATCTCTTTTTGCAGTGCTACCTAGAGACATCGAAATTAGCTGTGTTGAACTAACAAGATTTCTTCTAAGAAATTACCCTCTACCAGAGGGCTGTATAAATGAAGGCAATTCCCTACACAATACTGTGCAGATAAAAAGAAGCCAGTGATATGGGAGAAAAGCTTCTAATGCGGAAATGAAAGGTTATATCGCTTTAATATACAATTAGATCTAATTCGATTAAAAAGATATGTAACTGATAAGCAAATGTACCATTGCATACATCCATAGTCTTTTTCACAGGTTTATACCAAAATCGGGTTGCTTGATAATCGCATGGTCCAATTCAAAAATCCTTAACTGCAGAAAGGACAGTTACAACTTACGATATTTGCATTTGGGCGAGGGTGGTGGCGTGAATAAAACAAATACCATCATCTCATCCAATGACAAAGGAGAACGTGTATTAGCCCTGAATTGTGAAATTCTCAGTCCTGGAGCGTGGACTGGCTAGCGAAGCGACGGGCGAATTGTGAAACAGAGAAAAACCACCGCCATCCGCGGCGCTGGCCTCTCTCCGACGGGAGGAAAGGGGAAAAGGCAGAGCGCAGCCAACTCCGGTCCCGCCTAACTTCTCGGCTCCCCGGCGGCAGAGCGCGCCTGCGCGAAGGCGGCGGCGGCGGCTTCCCGCGGCCCCCGCGCCGCACCACCCCGTGCCCCGACCCGTCTCCAAGCGGGCGAGGGGCGACGACGCGGTCAGCCGGGCGGAAGGAGGGGGGCCGGCTCACCCTCCGCACTGACCTGGTACTCGATCTCCAGCGAGGCCTTCAGGGGCATGGGCTGGTAGAAACACTCCCTCCGGCCGGCCGGCAGCGTGAAGGTGAAGTCGCTGTCCAAGGAGTGCGTAAAGCCCGCCACCCCGGGCAGCAGCGCCGGGGGCAGAGCGGCCAGGAGCAGCACCGGGAAGGGCAGCCAGGTCTTTTCGCCCATCCCTGCCGGGCGATCTCGGGCTGGAAAAGGCGTGGGCGGTGTGGGCTATCGGCACCCAGGCTCCGCTTGCCTCCCCGGACTCCGCGTGGCTGGCGAGGCAGGGAAACCCGGAGCCTGAGGAAACTCCAGGCGGCGGCCGCAGCGGCGGCAAACACTCCCACTGAGGAACATTCGCCAACCTCCAAAGGGTGAGGGGGGACTGAGGGCGGGGCCAGAAGTCCCTTCCGCACCCTCCTAGGTCCCGGCTCCCTCACGGCCGGCGTGAGCACCACCCGCCTCGCACGCCCACAGCCGCAGGTTCCCATAGCTTCCTGCAGGCCAATGGGCGCCTTGGGGGGAATTGTGGGAAATGTAGTTCCGAGCGAGCCGTCCGGGCGGCGCTCTCAGACCACGATTCCCAGCAGGCCCCACGCCGCCTGCGTCGCCCGGCGCAGAGGCGGGGAGGTGGGCGTCGGGGGCGGAGCTGGGCCCGCTGGGGGAGGTGCGTCCACAACGGTTCCCGCGGCGGTTCGAACGCTGAGCAACCTGGGTTCTCGGTTTTTCTACCTGTTGTGTCTACTGGTTCCAGGCCCGGGGCCCGCGAGAGGGCCCGAGGCTTCGGAACGCAGACGAGAGCGTGGCGGGCGCTGTCGTCGGGTGGGTCCCTCTGCCAGCGACGACTCGGGTGGTGAGCGACTGCTTCTTGGAGGGTGGACTCAGGCCCGCCGGGGGAGTTGGTGGCCTTCCCTGCGGGCACCCTCGGACGCACGCTGTCTAGTCCTTGCCTGCGCTGCGCGCGCGGCTCTGCGAGGTAGATGTCCTATGTGCCCTGTTCCTGCAGACGGACGTAGGATCACTGCTGTCCAGCAGAGCGTTCTTGATGCGGGAATCCTGTCCGACTGCAGCCCATCCCATCACATACAGGGGTATGAAGAGCGCCTGTTCCTCGCTGCGGTGGGGGTACTTGGGAACAGCAGCTCCAAGCAGTGTTATTAGAGCCAAGAGATGACGTCAGGGCCGGGATAAATGAAGGCAATTCCCTATATAATATTATGCAGACGTTCAGATATATTATGCAGGTAGCTTGTGCTTTTCCGCATGTACAGGCAAGGAAGGTAGATTTTAGTGGCCGCTAAAGTGAGGGGGACTCTTGGTTTGACAATAAATGGCCACCAAGAAAAAGAAAATGTTTGAATAGCACTGTATTGATTGATAATTCAGGAGAATTAGGGAATTCTTAAAGTACACGAGAGATGTTGGGACATAAAACCTGATTTAGTTGATCCATGATAATGGAATGGCATTTTAATTTTCCCACATTTTATTTACCCCCTTTTTTTCCCCTTCACCGTCCTGTAGGAAGCTAGAGATGTTGAAAAGGTAAAGCAGAATGGGGACGGGCCTGATACATTGACGTTAGGGGCTTCTTAATAATTAAGCAGAGGCAAATTTGTAGAAGCAAAAGGGGAAAAAGGATTTTCTCTAAGATCACAGAGTATCTCATTTAATTTCCTAACATAGTTTCTTTCAATAAGGTGAGAGTTTTCTTTTAATGTTTCTCCTTACATCTGAGAAATTTTGACTATGGGATAAATGTCATAATATTTTAGCCAAAACCGGTTTGGCTCAGTGGATAGAGCATCAGCCTGCGGACTGAAAGGTCCCAGGTTCGATTCCGGTCAAGGGCATGTACCTGGGTTGCGGGCACATCCCCAGTAGGAGATGTGCAGGAGGCAGCTGATCGGTGTATCTCTCACATCGATGTTTCTAACTCTCTATCTCTCTCCCTTCCTCTCTGTAAAAAATCAATAAAATATATTTTCAAAAAAAATTAAAAAAAAAGTCATAATATTTTAACTGAATGAGTGGGAGGAAAGGCAGTTTAGTAATAACTTATTCACTGAAAATACTAAGTTTCCCTAAGTGCCTTACAGTCCTGAACATAATTCATAGGACTCCTTGCCATTTAGAGCTTGAAATGTGGTCAGAATTCTAGAAGGGTGACAAAAGAGGGATGCTATAATGCTAAAGGTAAATGGGATCCGAAAGAGGAATGTTATTTTAAGATTATGCAGAAAGAGCTAGGAGTAATAGAGATTATAAAGTTTTCATTTAATTGTATTAATTATGAACATATGTATTTTAATGTTTATATGTATTAATTTTTAATAAAATGTGGCCCCTTATCACGATTTTTATGTGCAGATATTTAGTAGAGAATTTCATAACCCTAGAAATACACTTAAGTTGAAGAAACAAAAGCTTTTCTTCATATACTAGAGGCCCGGTGCATGAAATTTCCACACTTTTCGGGGGGGTAGGTCCCTCAGCCTGGCCGGCACCCTCTCGCCATCCCGGGACCCCTTGGGGGATGTCTGCCTGCCGGCTTAGGCCAGCTCCCAGCAGTCAGACACCCCTCTCACAGTCTGGGAGCCCTTGCTCCTTACTGCCCGCCTGCTTGCTGCTCCTTAGTGTTACTGTGGAGGTGGGAGAGGTCCTGCCACTGCTGCTGTGCTCACCAGCTGTGAGCCCAGCTTCTGGCTGAGCGGCGCTCCCCCTGTGGGAGCGTACTGACCACCAGGGGACAGTCCCTGTGTTGAGCGTCTGCCCCCTGGTGGTCAGTGCACATCATAGCAACCAGTTGTTCTGGTCGTTCAGCTGTAATGGTCAATTAGGCTTTTAGTATATAGACTAGAGGCCTGGTGCACAAAAATTTGTGCACTCGGGCGGGAGGAGGGGTCCCTCAGCCCGGCCTGTGCCCTTTCGCAGTCTGGAACCCCTCAGGGGATGACCAACTGCTGGCTTAGGCCCACTCCCCAGGGAATTGGGCCTAAAATGGCAATCAGACATCCCTCTGGCAGCCTGGCAGCCCTCGGGGGATGTCCACTTGCCAGCGGGGAGCAGGCCTAAACTTCAGTCAAACATCCTTAGCACTGCTGAGGAGGCAGGAGAGGCTCCCATCACCACTGCTGTACTGGCAGCCATCAGCCTGGCTTGTGGCTGAGCAGAACTCCTCCCATGTGAGAGCGACCTGACCACCAGAGGGCAGCTCCTGCATTGAGAGTCTGCCCCCTGGTGGTCAGTGTGTGTCATAGTGACCAGTCATTCCCAGTCTTTCTGCTGTTAGGGTCAGTTCGCATATTACCCTGTTACTATATAGGATAGAGGCTGGTTTGCCCTGAAGGGTGTCCTGGATCAGGATGGGGGTCCTGCTTGGGTGCCTGGCCAGCCTGGATGAGGGGATAATGGCTGTTTGCAGCTGGTCACACCCCCTTCAGGGTGAGGGTCCTGCTTGGGTGCCTGGCCAGCCTGGATGAGGGGATGATGGCTGTTTGCAGCTGGTCACACCCCCTTCAGGGTGGGCGTCCCCACTGGGGTGCCTGGCCAGCCTGGATGAGGGGATGATGGCTGTTTGCAGCTGGTCACACCCCCTTCAGGGTGGGGGTCCCCACTGGGGTGCCTGGCCAGTCTGGGTGAGGGGCTGAGGGCCGTTTTCAGGCTGGCGAGTGACTGAAGCACCCAACCTCTCCTTTTTTTCTTTTTTTTTTATTCTGGGATTTATTTACCTTCTATGGCTGTCACTGGAGCTGAGAGCCGGCTTTAGCTCTGAGGCTCGGCTCCAGCTCTGAGACCTCGGCTGCTGAAAGCAGGTATCTGGGTTTGTTTGGGTTCTATAATTGTAACACTGTTGTGGCCCTGCTCGCTCCAGCTCTGACTGCTGAAAGCAGGTTTCTGGGGTTTGTTTAGCTTCTATAATTGCAACATAATTGCTTAGAGTGCAGCTCAGAGACTGGCAGCGGCAGGCAGGGAACCTTGGCTTCCTCCATCACTGGAGCAAGTAAGCCTCCTGTTCGCTTCAGCTGCCTGGCTGCCGGCCGCCATCTTGGTTGGCAGTTAATTTGCATATCTCGCTGATTAGCCAATGGGAAGGGTCGCGAAGTTACGGTTAATTACCATGTTTCTCTATTATTAGATAGGACTAGTAGCCCATCGCATGATATCGCGCACAGTAGACCGCCCGCCACTTCCACGGGAGCCAGCGGGAACTGCAATGTGCTGCCGGGATCCATGCTGCTTCTACGGGAGCTGTGCGGCTTCCACGGGAGGTGGAAGCGAGCCGCTGGCACCCACGGGAGCTGAGAGGGAGCCGTGCCAATTCCGCGGGAGGTCGGAGGGAGCCGCACTGCTTCCATGGGTGGCGGGCCTGCCATCTCCTCTCCAGGCCTGTGCTCGGACATGGAGGCTGCGGGCTGGCTCCCCTGTCTCTGTCTTGTCTCTGCTCTGGGCCTCACCTGCGCGCATAGCCTCCTCCTGTCTAGTCGTGTCCTGTTACGGCATCCTGTCCATATTTACATATTTCATATATATATACATACATACATATATATATATGTATATATATGTATATATACATACACACACACACACACACACACACTAGAGGCCCAGTGCATGCAGGGGAGGAGATGTGTGTCCCTCAGCCCAGCCTGCACCTTCTCCAATCTGGGACCCCTCAAGGGGTGTCTGACTGCCCGTTTAGGCCCGATCCCACCAGCCCAATCCTGGTGGGATCGGGCCTAAATGGGCAGTCGGACATCCCTCTCACAATCCAGGACTGCTGGCTCTCAGCAGCTTGCCTGCCTGCCTGATTGCCCCTAACCACTCCCCTGCCAGCCTGATTGATGCCTAACTGCTCCCTTGCTGGCCCGGTCACCCCTAACTGCCCTCCCTTGCCAGCCTGGTTGCCCCTAACTGCCCTCTGCTGACCTGGTCCCCCTGCCCCACTGCCCTCCCCTGCTGGCCTGGTCCCCCCCAACTGCCCTCACCTGCAGGCCTGATGACCCCCAACTGCACTCCCCTGCAGGCCTGGTCGCCCCCAGCTGCCCTCCCCTGCAGGCCTGGTCGCCCCCAACTCCCCTCCCCTGCTGGCCTGGTCCCCCCTCCCAACTGACCTCCCCTGCAGGCTGGATCACCCCCAACTGCCCTCCCCTGCAGGCCTGGTTGCCCCCAACTGCCTTCCCCTGCAGGCCTGGTCCCCCCCAGCTGTCCTCCCCTGCTGGCCTGGTTCCCCCCTAACTGCTCTGCCCTGCTGGCCTGGTCGCCCACAACTGCCCTCTCTTGCTGGCCATCTTGTGACCACATGGGGGCAGCCATCTTGTGTGTTGGAGTGATGGTCAATTTGCATATTGCCTCTTCATTATATAGGATAGATTTCCATGAGTTA